AAGGCAAGCACCTGACTTGTGCTGCAGTCTCTGCTCAAACTGGGAGTGGAAATGGGGAGGCAAGACTGCGTCACAGAAACCCACCACTGATTTGAATTATTTAAGTACCAAAAGCATCAGAACTATCTCAAGAGCTGCTTTTCTGAAGGGGGTCAGTAGTGTCAGTAGTATTTTGGGATTCCGTTCTGGTACTTTGGTTCTTCCGCAAAAGGAAGGAAGCTATGAAGCAAGGAGATGCTTATGGACTTCACAAAGCTAAAACCAGTGCTTGCAGTAAGCACCCAGCAGAGCCAGGGCAACAAAACGCCTTCTCTCTCCTGGCTGTGTGCACCTGATGTGGTTTAATTTAAAAAGCACCCTTTTTAGTCCAAATTGAAAGACGTGTGGGTGCAATCACGGGCATGGAGGGGAGGGATCACCAAGAAGCAGAAGGCAGCTGTATCTACCCAAACCACACCAGGCTGCCCTGGGACATAGCCTAAAACTGACACCCCAAAGCATTCCATGATTCTCCATAACCCAGACCAGGGACCAGGACAACGGGAGGTGACCTCCCTCCACTGCCCCACAGCAGGGCAGTGAGCATCCACACTCGCTCTCCTGTAGGATGGCAGGGAGGGAGGGAGGGTAAAGGCATTACGGAGTGAACTTCACTGCTAAGGAGCTGCAGGAGAAAGCCGGCTCGCTGCTGGGAGCGGAGGAGGAGGAGACCCATCACCCCAGATGGTCACTGGCCCCTGACCCGAGGCCCCTCGCTGAGCCGGGAGCAGTGACAGCACCAGCCTGGGCTCAGCCCCTTCTCCCACCTGAGGAGGTGATGCAACCGCGGTGCAGAGTTGTTCACCTGCCCTCAGAGACAGCTGTTGGCCGGGTGTCGCACACACAAACAGGCGCAGCTCATTACCCCCGCGTCCTAATTGCTGCATCCTGCCCCGAGGGCCGGGGAGCCCCATGGAAAACACACCTCAGAGCACTCCTCACAGAACACCTCACAGCACTCCTTACAGCACTCCTCACAGCACTCCTTACAGCACTCCTTACAGCACTCCTCACAGCACTCCTCACACTGCTCTTTTCCAGACCCCAAGGCAGCCCCACTCGCTGGGATGCTACTGGATAATTCATAGCTGTGTTCCAAATGGACTGGTTTGGTTTCCTGTCAGCACAAAGAGCTGCAGAACACAGCAGGAATCTTGTCCCCTTAAGGGAGGAGTGGAAACAGGAATATACTGGGGAAAGCAACACTTGTGATGCTAACTAAATAAAATAACCAACTATGAACTATAGCTAATAGACTAAACTAACTGATAATCACATTCAGGTCAAAGGGGTTTCTGGCTGTAATTTATGTGGTGACTCAAAGCTAACACAGCCAATGCGTTCTCCTGGGGTTTGTCCACATTCCTCCTGCTTTCCCCAGTAACTCTAAAGTTGCACTAGTGATACACACCGAAGGAACACTGCTCCATGAGAACATCCCCCCAGTTCTCCTGTTTGTGGACCTTAAGAGTGAGGAATTCATGCTTCTGCTTAGAACACATAAACACGTGTGCTAAAAGAATCTGCACCACAGCTTACTCTGGTGGGCAATGCCTGGAACCCTCCAATTCTGCAGTGCTACAAAGAACAGGATCTGTGTCCCAGCGACCCCTGTGCCCAGGACATCACCCCCTCTCTTAAAGAGGTTTATCGGGGAACAGCACGTACCAAACCCCACAAAGTACAAAACTCACAGAGCCTGTCCTTGCAGCAGGCAGTGCCCTCAGCATCCAAATTACCGGACCAGGCTCACCACCCACCCCGCACCTTGAGGCGAATCATGCCCCATCCCTGGCAGTGCTCAAGATCGGGTTGGACATGGGCTTGGAGCAAGCTGCTCTAGTGGAAAGTGTCCCTGTCCATGGTAGGGATTGGGACTGGATGAGCTTTAAGGTCCCTTCCAACACAAACCAGTCTCGGATTCTGTGATACAGGAAATACAGAAACAGGCACACGGATTGTTGCATGAGAATCCGAGCTCCCAAGCACCATGAACGAATACCTCAACCGATTCCATAGCTAAGGAGAGCAAAATAGGAAGGACAGCAACACAAGAGAAAACCTGTGGTCAAGTGTGCCACCAAGAGGCGAAAGCAGCAAAACAGAGTGAGACGAGGAAGGAACAAAAGAGTAGCATCAGTGTGGAAAATAGCTGGGACCGCCTGGAAGGATGGGCAGCGCGGGGTCTGCCTTCACTGCACAGTGTCCACCTCTCCATCCTCTTTCACTTCGGGACTGGGGCTCTGCACAGGGACTGAAATCCAGCGCGAAAAGGAGCAAGAGCTTAAAGCCTGTGGGACTGCTACTGACACCAAGGCGCAATGGACAGGGTAAGGAGCATCTCAACAACAACCTGCTCACATTTCAGAAGTGCCCCGGTTTCCATGCAGGAGTTGGAAGCCATCAGATTTGGAAAAAGCAGAGCACCCTCCAGCTTAGAAGAAAGGAGCTGCTGACGCTTCTGAACCTGGCCACCGCATGGAAAGCTGCAGATGAAAGCAACTGAAGTCTTACAGGCAATGATACTGCCCATCCCTATGGCCTGCGCTGGCAGTCGCTGCTCTACTGATTCAGGGTCTTTGTGTTTTCAAATGTAAAAGTTAGTATTTTACTTCAGTTCAGCCTCCCTCAGGCTCTAACGTTTGGTGAGTTGGGTGCTTTATGTGAGAGGATGGAATGCTGAGTGGTTCTTAACACTGAGGGGGTCTGATCACAGTGGGTGTTAGCACGCAGGGGGGGTGTAGAGGAATGACGTTCCTGTGTTCCCCAGGCAGTGTTAAACTGAAATCCTAATGGCATTAGGGGAACAAAGAGCAAGAAGCTCTTCACCACCCCCAGGGTACACCCTGGCAGTGCAGAAGGGGGAGGTTTTCTGTTTCCACACCGGCCAGGACTCGGTTTTCCACAAGAAAACCATCTCCTTTCTCTTCCTTTTTCCCCCCTCCATGACCTCTTCAACAGGCGGATTTCCCACATGCTCTCACTTGGCAGGAGGGGAGCGGGGGCTCCCTCACAAGGGACTGCTCCCCTCTGCAACTCAGACACAAGGGAGCCCGCGGGGCTCTCCCTGCAAGCCCTCGGCAGAGCAGTGAGCACCGCAGGGTTTCGAGTTCTGGGCCCCTCAGTTTAAGAAGGACAGGGACCTGCTGGAGAGAGTCCAGCGCAGGGCAACTGAGATGATGAAGGGAGTGGAGCATCTCCCTTATGAGGAGAGACTGAGGGAGCTGGGTCTCTATAGTTTGGAGAAGAGGAGACTGAGGGGTGACCTTATTAGTGTATATAAATATATAAAGGGGGAGTGTCACGAGGATGGAGCCAGGCTCTTCTCAGTGGCAAACAATGATAGGACAAGGGGTAATGGGTACAAACTGGAACACAAGAGGTTCCACTTAAACTTGAGAAGAAACTTCTTCTCAGTGAGGGTGACGGAACACTGGACCAGGCTGCCCAGGGAGGTTGTGGAATCTCCTTCTTTGGAGACATTCAAAACCCACCTGGACACGTTCCTGTGTAACCTTATCTAGGTGCTCCTGCTCCGGCAGGGGGATTGGACTGGATGAGCTCTTGAGGTCCCTTCCAATCTCTAACATACTGTGATGCTGTGATACTGTGATACTGTGATACTGTGATGCTGTGATACTGTGAGGTGCCCCCTGCCGGCCCCGGAGCTCGGCTCTGCCCGTGCTGCCCCCGCTCTCCTCCAGCTGTGAACCATGGCTGTGTTTCTGCACATCCTCTGCTCTGCTAAGAGTAACTCTCCGAGCTGCTGCACGCACCCGGCCGTTTCTGCGGCGCAGTCATCTCCTTGCACCTCAACAGATGAAGTCTCATCTCCATCTCCCACTGAATGCTTTATTAATGAGGCCAGCCCAGGGCACAGGGGCCTGGACACACTTATCCTCAGCAGCAGAATGTTCTGGCTACAGTGGTAAGATAAAGTTCTGCCCCAGCCCCTTGCAGCAGTCAGGAGGAGCGGGTATGTTAAACCTCCCCGAAGGACCAGTCCTGGAGGGCAAAAGTCTGGGGAGGACAACAGTAACTGTAACTTTGAGGAGGTTCTTGCACACAATGCACAGGCATTCAAAGGGCGTGCTGATGGCAGACACCACTCCTGAGTTAACAGGAAGCTCTTCACAGCCCTTCCTTCACCCAAGATCATGCCTGGCATTTTACCTTATGCCCGAAGTTACAAACATCCCTAAGGTGAGCTGTGATGGGGCTGTGACAGTGCCTCACAAATACACAGTTGTTAACTGGGGGCGCAATGAGAAACTTATGACTAAGTAACCTAGAGAGGTACAGACCAGGCTACACCAGACAATTTCATGCAACAAGTGTCACAAAGCATTGCTTCCTTTCTGCTTCAGATCCTCAAATACGAAAATCACAGAACCCCAGCCTGGGTTGGGTTGAAGGGACCTCAAAGCTCCTCCAGCTCCAACCCCTGCCACGGGCAGGGACCCCTTCCACTGGAGCAGCTTGCTCCAAGCCCCTGTGTCCAACCTGGCCTTGAGCACTGCCAGGGATGGGGCAGCCACAGCTTCTCTGGGCACCCTGTGCCAGCGCCTCAGCACCCTCACAGGGAAGAGCTTCTGCCTAAGAGCTCAGCTCAGTCTCCCCTCGGGCAGGTTCAAGCCATTCCCCTTGCCCTGTCCCTACAGGCCCTTGTCCCAAGCCCCTCTCCAGCTTTCCTGCAGGCACTGGAGCTGCTCTCAGGTCTCCCCTTCAGGAGCCTTCTCTTCTCCAGGCTGCCCCAGCCCAGCTCTCTCAGCCTGGCTCCAGAGCAGAGCTGCTCCAGCCCTCGCAGCATCTCCATGGCCTCCTCTGGCCTCGCTCCAACAGCTCCACGTCCCTCTTGTGCTGCTTCCCCAATGCCCCAGCACAAGAACTGTACCACAGAAAACAGACATCTCCATCAGCACACAATGGTAAATTCACTTTTTACCAGGGAAAGCTTGTACCTGGTCTTCACTTGTCAAGCCAAGGTGCATCACAAAATAGAAGTGAACCAGGAAATCCGAGTTTGGCAGAACATCTTGTCGCCTCGTCATCATGGCACAGATGAGCCTGTATGCGTGCAGCTTGCCTTCCTTGTACTCGCCTGGCAGGGTGGTTGCCTGAAAAGAGCAAACTCCTTGTATTAGTGCTTTTTTTCTCAGGTAGCCAGCGAATGCAAAACTGCATCTCCAGCAGATTGTGCATAAAGCAAAGCCGTTCCCTGTATTTGCTCCAGGAGATTCAAGTCCAGACAGCCTTTGGAGGATATTCATCCTCTTAGCAGCAGTGGCTGCAGCCAGTAACAGTAACACAACTGAACACACACACGTTCAGTACTGGCATAGGAGACAACACCAGTGTGTGAGAAGTTTAGAAACCACTTACCTTGAACAACCAAGATGCAAATATCCTGAGAGGAGGAATGAGGACAGGAGGAGAGGGAGTAGACTGATTGTCCACACTTATAGCGAGGTTGTCCCGGATCTAGGGGGTTTTAAAGGAGAAGAGCCAGTAAAACTGATGGCTCCTTATTTCACATTACTTTCTCATTTTAGTTCGGTTTAGTTATTTTGAGGTGCTACATTCTGCACTATACAGAGCTCCTACTTCAGCCAAAACTACCTGGAAAGCTTATTCTATAGGGCGAGTGCTGTCCTTTCAGGTCATACCATGGGCTTTTGCACCAATATTCTGTTCTATCCCTCTATTTTCTTTGCTACTATTTCCCCACCCCATATAAATTAACTGTCTAAATTCTGTTATCATTGAAGAGGGACATTCTCTAGTGGGGATACCTACAGAATATCAAACAGGATTAGCCCACCTGACGAGAGAATCCTCCAAATCCCATGCTTTTGTTCCAGACACTAACACTAGATCATATTTAATAAGTTTTAAACAACAGAAAAACCAGGTGAGTAGGTGTAAGCCCCATCCACGTACCTTTGCAAGTTTGTACCACAACTCATAGAGATACCCAAACACTTTTGCATGAATCTTAGGTGACTTTATATTGTTCACATCTCCAAGAATTCCCAAGATCCTCCTCCATAACACGGCAGCAGAATCGGGATGCCAACCGACGAGGCTTCCGCCAGCAATTATACTGCAGTCATCAGCAAGGAACTCACTGCTGTCTGGAAACCCAACACAGGTCCATTTCCATGAATCAGAAACGCAGTGTCAGCATAAACCGGGTCAGTACACCAGGAAAACTGCTCCTTTTAACCATTTTCCACCTCTGAAGTTCTCTCTCTCTCCAAATCACCCCTCTCTTTTGCATTGCTCAAGCTCGCACACAGTTCAAAACCAAAACACAGCAGCAAGTGTGGGCTGGCGGGCCTTCCACACAGAGGTGATACAGCCACAGAGCAGTTTACATCAGACAGCCCCCCTCAACGTTAGGTTTGTTTTACCAGCGAGTTCCAAATGGAACCTTCATGCAGTCAGAGAGATTTATTCAACCAGTAACTGGCTTTTACAGGTAACGTTTCATCATTGAGTTCCAACCCCCCTGGTACAGGCAGGGGCTGCTCTAGTAGAAGGTGTTCCTGCCGTGGCAGGGGTTGGAACTGGACAAGCTTTAAGGTCCCTTCCAACACAAACCAGGCTGGGATTCCATGATTCTATGATTCTATTTCTAAAAGCCCTTTCTCTTTTAATATCACACAGTACAAAACAACCTGGAAATGCAAGTGAACAAAGGCCCTAAGAGGTATGCACTGCTAGTGATGAAGAGCATGCTTGGGCATCCTCATTTGTGCAGTAACTGTTCCTGAGATTGTAGTACTCAAACGGAGCAGGAGATCAGGGGGCTGTGAAGACCACCGGGACAACGGGATTTGTCTGCTGGGACAGTACGAGCAGAATTCCATAGGGAAGTGGAACTGTTGCTGACAAGAGCCTGTTCTCAGCACAGCAGCAGCCTGTCTGCAGGCACAACCAGCCCCAGGGGGCTCCCTGCAGTGCTCAGCACCCGAGGGCTAGGGGAGAGGCGCAGGAACCCTCAACACAGGCAGAGGGAAGTAACCCCAGGACCCAAAGAGGGTCAGCAAAGTGAAAGCCATCCCAGATGCTTTTATGTTCGTGTGAATTGATTTCTTTAAAAAGCTTTTGGGATATTTTGTTTTGCTTTGTTGCTTCGTTTGTACCTTTCTGCTATGAAATAAAACCTATTCACTTTCTATAGAAATTAAATTAATTTACTGGGCATTAGTGGGACAGGCTCAGAGAGCACACGTGATCAGCTGTCACAACTCAACTGATGAGTAGTGATTTGACACAGAAAGCAACCCCATTATTTTCAACTGTTTGATCCTTTTCTGTATCACAGCTTGCTGGCACCTAGTTCAGTTTCCAATTATCCAAATTCTTAAACTTTGGGCATTGAAAACCCATTTTTGAGTGAGCATCATGAAGGGAACGTGATAAATGAAACATACTTTTTATAAGCAAACTGAACTGTGCGAAGTCCTTTGGGAGATCACTGTAGATGATGCTCCCTGCAGTGCAGTACCTGTCAGGTTCGCGGTGTCCGAGGGGCTAAGCTGAAGCCAGCGAGGAGCATCAGCATCCACACAAACATCTGCTGAGGCATTCACCTCAGGGTCATCTTCAGAGGCTTGCCAGGGGATGAGAGCGATCTCCACCTCGTTGTTGTAGCCGATGGACGTGTCACTGCTGACGCTCTCACCTGCAGCACGAAAGGCATTAACCAGGTGACAGACCCTGTCTGTAACAACTGCATTAGCAAAGCACCATGAGAAAAGCGGCCACTACATCTGCAGCGAGACAGAATCTGACACTGACCCCAGGTGCTACACTCCAGAAAAAGGCTGGGTGTCTTGGAACTCACTTTTTTCTCTCTCTCTGCAATTCCCATGGGATTGCTGCCAGTCTGCCCTCAAATCCAACTCAGCTGTGCTGCTGCTTCTTCGGACTGGTACCTTCAGAGAAACACATCCATCTCAGTTTATTACAGCTCTGAGAACCACATCGTGCTTTAGCAAATCTGAGCTACATACACAGTTACTAGAAATCAGTTATAACCCAGACAAGATATTGCAATTAATATTTAGACTACCCAAATATCTTTAATGACTTCAGGGAACCAACAGGGGAAGTTTAGATTGGATATAAGGAGGAAATTCTTTGCTGTAAGGGTAGTGAGGCACTGGAATGGGTTGCCCAGGGAAGCTGTGAATGCTCCATCCCTGGCAGTGTTCAAGGCCAGGTTGGACACAGCCTTGGGTGCCATGGTTTAGTGTGAGGTGTCCCTGCCCATGGCAGTGGGCTTGGAACTGGATGATCTTAAGGTCCTTTCCAACCCTAGCTATTCTATGGTTCTAATTCTATGATCATGCTTTCAGTTTCAGTGTTTATCCTCCCTTCCTTAGGCTCAGTTTTCATACTCACAAGCAGGACTTTTTATCTACGTTTTTCCACAAATCTGAAAAGACTCGATACAGAAAAGTACCAAAAATCTTCCAGGGAGGAAGGAGCATCACCTCTTCTGTCAGAGCATTATCCTGCTGCAAGGCAACCCCTGAAAAGACACCCCATCCTTTGTTCACCTCCTCCTCCTTCACCACGTGTTCAGAGCTACTTGCTGAAAACTCTGCTTCGACACAACACTGCTCTGTCCCTGCACATCACTGGTTTTCGTTACATCTGGCAGGTCACCTTCCAATCCACATCTCCATGGCACCTGTAATGGCAGAACTTCACCCCAAACCCCAACACAAAGGCCCTCGGGGCACACTGGATCTAACTGCTGAAGGAATCTCTACTCTCAAGAGCAGAAAAAATGAAATTCTTCAATTCAGGTAACATTTGTGACATTCCATGTTGAGATTTGTCATTATTAGTGTTACTAGTTTTAAATAAATGTATACATCTCTTAAAGCAATTTCTGACCCCCTGGCCAGACATCGATCCATTCATTCTTTCTGCCTAAATCTGAGGAATCCTTGCCCCCAAAGAGACAGCTGGCTTTAGAAATCACCATGGCATCATCTGACAGTGCAGCTGGGGAGGCCTGCCCGTCACTCCCAGGCAGTGCCTGCCTGCCAGGCGGCAGTGCTCTCCCTCCCTGGTGATGGGCTCACAGGGATGCTGGTGTTTCAGTGCTGTTAGCTGAGCTCTGGCTGGTGCAGGCAGTACCTCAGCAGGTTACACAGTGAGTACCCGGCCAAAGCCCGGCTCCTGCTTGCAGGGATGGTGCAGGTGCCCCCCCCAGCAGCCCGGGAGGGCTCTGTAACAGGTTCATGTTTTATTGCCCCCCCCGAGCTCACTTCTCTCCCTCTCCCCTCCACCACGCACAGCATCACAGTATCACAGCATCACAGTATCACAGTATGTTAGAGATTGGAAGGGACCTCAAGAGCTCATCCAGTCCAATCCCCCTGCCGGAGCAGGAACACCTAGATAAGGTTACACAGGAACGTGTCCAGGCGGGTTTTGAATGTCTCCAGAGAAGGAGACTCCACAACCCCCCTGGGCAGCCTGGTCCAGTGTTCTGTCACCTCACTGAGAAGAAGTTTAAGTGGAACCTCTTGTGTTCCAGTTTGTACCCATTGCCCCTTGTCCTATCATTGTTTGCCACTGGGAAGAGCCTGGCTCCATCCTTGGGACACTCCCCCTTTATATATTTATATACACTAAGGTGTATATAAAACACATGAGGGTTCCCTTCCTCTCTGAGACACTTGGCTACTCCTGAAGCAATGAACGAAAGCACCCTGCAGAAAACGGCTCCTCTCCTTTCTGGACCAATTACTGGCACTTCCAAGCCTAGACATATGGGAGAGCCACGGTGAAGAGACAAGATTCAGCTTGAAGCCCCCCGTGCCACACTGCATTACACTTCCACCAGCATGATCAGCCCCAGCCATCATTATTTCTGCCATTTATTCCAAAGTGGCATTAAAGATTTATGAAGCTTTCCTGTCCTGATGGTAACTTGCACAGCCCTCTGCAGTCCGCAGCTGGTGACACAAATGGGGCTGGAGGAGAGCACTTCCCCCAGTACTTTAAACCATGAAACATTTATTCCAGTGCACTGTAGCTCTGCAATAGCCATGAATTATTTACACTTTAAAAGTTATTAACTTTGTGTTTATATGTAATAGAAAAAGCACAGAAGTCTTGCATAAACCGCAATACAGGCACCACCTCAGCCTGCAGAGACAACTGACAAGATGGGGAGGCAGAAGGCTCACATCACCCAACACGTGAGCAGCTACAGGCTCCAAACTAGAGATGTGATTCATGGCTTTTCACGCCGGCAGTTGCTGCAGTTTCTAAACACTAAAGCCACCCCATCAGACATGAAACCCTGTTAGGCTCTCAATGGTTACTTCCTGTTTTGCCTTACTTGCTCAGCTTCATGTTCCTTCTTTGCGCATCCCGTATTTTCCTGAACACATCTGGAGTCTGCAGAAGTGGAATTATGAGGAGCTCCAGCCTTTTTACCTAGACATTTTGGAAAGCAAGCAAGAGACACAGACATTTGTGGCACCAAAGCACATAGCACAGCACACGAGCACTTCAGTCACGTTTACATGTCACTTGTGTCTATGGCTCAGGGAGTAATACATTACACCAGCACACAAGGTGTTTTGGAAGCTCCTTCATAAGCATAACCTACATTCTGGAACAGCAAAGCTGTTCTCTTGAAGACAAAATTTAAATGCAAGCCAGATTAAAAGAAATAAATGTGAGGAGTTACACACAAAATGCACACGTTTAAAGGTTTCTTTGTTCACTGCCTTGCTTTATAAAGGTCGTGTCCTGCATTTGGGTCTGTAACTTCTTACCAATAGTTATTTCAACAAGACAGCAATGATATCTGTACTAAGAAACCAAGATAAAACCACATCTTAGAAAGGGGCTGGAAAGCAAAGCAGGTAAGAGCAGCACTTATGGGGCTGGACAAGGCCCCACGCTTCCTCTTCAGAGGCGCAGCATCGCTGTGGTTGTAGGGATTACCTTGGAGAACATCGGGTGGGAGCTGCTCTGCGATGTCCGAGGTGCTGCTGCTCCGAGTCAGCTCCAGCTCTGGCTCTGCAAACAGGCCCGAGGCTTCTGCTCCCACTGGATTTTCCAGCTGCTGGGATTCTTCCACTTCTGGTGGTTTAACACAGAACATTGGCACGGCTCAGAAGGACGCACCCGTGTGACCTCCTTCCCTACGGCAGCTACATGAGGGGTTCAGTGCCTACCCAAATACACTCAGAGTTCCCAAGTTCCACAGCTGGAATGGCCCTCCCAGTTACAGAGGTTATCGTTTAGGTTTTATACACTATCCTTAGCAAACTGGAAGGTTTAGAGAGAGGTGTAGGAGCAGTGCCAGTGGTGAAAGGGCTATAAAAGGGCCAGAAATGGCTCTGGGGTCCAGAGTGCACGAGTTGGGGTGGGAGCCATGGGAACAAAGCTGGCTTCAGTTCTAGAGCCCTGCACTGGGCCCTGCTCCTGCTGGAAACGGGACAGAGGAGAAGCTGCAACACTGCTAGAGATGCAGAGTGCGGGACACGGCTGTGCTGACCGAGCTGTCCATGGGGATGGGAGGGGGACAATGAGAAAGGCAACAATTCAGGCTGGGTAAAAGCGATCTGAGGTTGCTGAGGGCAAAATGCATCCTGCAGCTTCTTGTTGTAACTGCAAATGAGAAATCAAAGGAGAGGAGAAAGGGGCATGAAAATTCAAGTGAGGAAGTGAACCAACAGAGTGGGAAAGGAGCATCAGGAGCTCCTGAGGTGAGCTCGCAACACAGGGCTTGCAGAAATGCATTTCCCTGAGCACTGGGGTGGGGGCAAAGACAGCAACACTTGGGATCGAATATGTTCCCATTCACAGAGCCCCAGCCTGGGTTGGGTTAGAAGGGACCTTAAAGCTCCTCCAGCTCCAACCCCTGCCACGGGCAGGGACCCCTTCCACTGGAGCAGCTTGCTCCAAGCCCCTGTGTCCAACCTGGCCTTGAGCACTGCCAGGGATGGGGCAGCCACAGCTTCTCTGGGCACCCTGTGCCAGCGCCTCAGCACCCTCACAGGGAAGAGCTTCTGCCTAAGAGCTCAGCTCAGTCTCCCCTCGGGCAGGTTCAAGCCATTCCCCTTGCCCTGTCCCTACATCCCTTGTCCCAAGCCCCTCTCCAGGTTTCCTGCAGGCAAGCAGAGGCGCTTTTGGTTATGGCTATGACAGTGGTTAATGTCACCTCCCAGTCCTAACCTGCTTGCTAACTCCTTCCCCAGAAAGCAGCGGAGGAGGGGGCCCACACACCCCACCACAGCCACCAGTGACTGCTCAGGTCACACAGCCAGTGGTACCTTCCCTTCTAAAGCCAGATGGAAAGTGCTGCTGTGGCAAGTCCTGTGAGATTCCTGGCATCTCTGTTTTCCAGTAAGGACCAGTGTCCTTTCCACCAGCTTTCCCTACACTCCTCCTGCCTCCTCTGCTCTGCTCCACAAACACTGACATCGAGGCTGTGCTCACTCAGACACGATCAAGAAGTGCAGCCCTTGGGATAGGTGATGGGTGACACACAGATGCTGCAGCAGCAGCCCCAGGAGGACACAGTGCTCAGCTTGCTCAGCCTGCACCGAGTGTAATGCTGAAGCACTTAATGAACACTGTGTGTGCTTTAGGGAAGTACCTCACAAGTGCCCATGCACAAACCCCAACTGCTCTGGCATGTACTGACCTCACAGCGTCACTGCTGCCTCAAGTGTCCTGCAGAAAGTGATAAAATAGAACCATAGAATAGTTCGGGTTGGAAAGGACCTTAAGATCATCCAGTTCCAACCCCCCTGCCATGGGCAGGGACACCTCACACTAAACCATGGCACCCAAGGCTCTGTCCAACCTGGCCTTGAACACTGCCAGGGATGGAGCATTCACAGCCTCCCTGGACAACCCATTCCAGTGCCTCACCACCCTCACAGGAAAGAATTTCCTCCTTATATCCAATCTAAACTTCCCCTGTTTCAGTTTTAACCCATTACCCCTTGTCCTGTCACTACAGTCCCTAATGAAGAGTCCCTCCCCAGCATCCCTATAGCCCCCCTTCAGATACTGGAAGCTGCTCTGAGGTCTCCACGCAGCCTTCTCTTCTCCAGGCTGAACAGCCCCAACTTTCTCAGCCTGTCTCCATACAGGAGGTGCTCCAGCCCCTGAGCATCCTTGTGGCCTCCTCTGCACTTGTTCCAACAGTTCCATGTCCTTTTTATGTTGAGGACACCAGAATAAATAACCAATTCAATTCAGTAGCTGCAGCAACTTCAGCTCCAGCCCTGCTTAGGGCTCGAGTCAGAAACCCCTCCCAGGAGGTGAAATGCAGGAGGGGACAAAGTCACTTCCAGAGGTTCCCCAGCTGCAAGCAGACAGAAAGGACAGCCTGCTCAGAGGATGAGCGAGCTGGCTGCTCCACCAGCACTCCCAGCTGGGGGCAGGATGAGTGCCCCCCAGCCAAGCACACAGCTGTGCCTGGGCACCAGCACAGAGCTCAGCTCAGGAGGTGCATGCTTAGGGCTTGCTCCAGCTCCAGTTGTCACAACAGCAAGTCCCATCCCTTGGAACATCCAAGGCTTACTGCACGTGAGCAGAAATACACCACTTGAGTCTAAATAACACTAAATGCCCAAACCTGGACTGCTGCCTTTAGTGTTTCCTTCTCTTACCCTTAGTACATTTGGTCTGCACTGAATTAAAACTTTAACAACTGCTTGGAAACCTTCCATAAACCAAGTAATAAAAAGTTTAAGCATGAATAAGAGGATTTCTTTATTAAGAAATGAATTATGATTCATGGTAATCTTTAATATCAAAATGAAGAAAACTTGCGTTGCTTCCAGTACTGCAAACATCTGAGAGAAATCAAACACTACCCGAGAACTAAGAGGCACAGACAAATCTTTTACATTTGCTTCTGGAATCAGTAGCTACAGAGAGAATTCTAGGGAAGGGAAAAGGCCACGTTTGTAAGCACGGCTCTGTAACTGTGTAACAGAGGGAAGGAGAGTTTTCTGTTAAATCAAGCAGATCAACCAGCTGCATCTCTCTGCATACTGTGCTTGCACCAGCTCACACCTTCAAGCACTTCCTGCAGTAGTGACAAGGTTACTGTCTGACACTGAACCCAGTGCTGGAGTAACAAAAAGCTACCAGTAGGCACTGTTTGCACCCTCTGTAACTGTGAAAAAGGACAAGTCATGCTCCCATGAAACTTGCTCATCTCTTAATGGCTACCACTAGGGGTTAACACCAGGTTTTGAACAGCTCCGATGCGTGAGAAACAGAGCCAGGGCAACACATCTCATTCCACCCCACTAAAGACAGAAGGGGAACAGACAGACAGCAGTTTACAATATAAAGAACATTTATATAAAAGGTGATTTCAAGTACAGTACCTGACAGTCTGTGAGAGCAAGAAGTGTAAGAGATACCAGGTAAGAGAGAGCTCACAGTGTGAAGCAGGAGAGGGACGCTTTTAGTGGCTGGCAAAGCCTCATAAAGGTGCACACAGTTGCTGATAGACTGGCTGCGCTTGGCTTCCAGGGAGAAATAAAGCAAGAATTAGGTCAGAAACAGTAAGGGAATATTTGGGGTTCTGAATGTTGTGATACAATGAAACACAATGATCTGGGGGGGGAAATTACACCACTAAGCCCAGAAGTTTTTCTTACGAGCTCTAAGTCAATAATGCACAACTGCCTCTCACCCATTGAGAGTGCACCAACCAGGGATTCCTGAATCACAGCAGTTCCCCCCCAGGGATATTCCATTCTGCCAAGGTACAGTTCCTGTCTCTGGGCTGATCTGGCTTTACCCTCTTTTCTTTGCCCCAAAGTACCTGTAGCAGAACATACAGCTCAAAAATAAAGACTGGAAAACTTGCTGAAACTGATCTGAAGCCAGAGCTGCCTCTGGTCTGAGCAGACCTGCTCTGAGCTGGAGGTTAGCCTTGAAAAGCCCTTGAGGATCAACACCTCCAGGTTCTCTCGACTGCTGTGGTGAGCAGAGATATCCCTCCCCTAGAGAGAACTAGGGGGGAAACGCTGTGGCAGAAGAGCAAGCTCCCACTGGAGCACAAATAGGAACTCACTGGATTTGAAAGTAAAGCAGGCACAAAGAATGAGTGACTCCATTGGCAAAATGTTTTGTGATCTAAGCTGAAGCTTGTGGCTTTGTCATGAAGCCTAAAGCCTCAAAACATACAAAATCACCTTCAAGCTCTCCTAGTAAGAAACACAACCAATCTGTTAGGATGGGGGCAGGAGGATGCACAGTGAAATCTGTCCTATTCAAAAGCAGGTTTTCTATGGAGTTTTCTCATCCTTATCCCACTGCACTGGAACACAGAACCATGCTACCATGAAATAAAGAGATCAGATTCAGGCTGCTGAAATGCTTGAAAAATCAGGTATCTGTTCCATGCCTGGGGTCTCAGACATGCCCCATCATTCCTCAGCCCTGTTCTCCTGTTTTCCTCTTTCCAGAGGGAAACATGAGAGAGGAAAGGAAAAGGAGATGCTGTACATACCTCATCATGCCAATTAAAAGGAAACAAATAAAGCAAGTAAGAAAGGATGAAATTGTTTGCTACGTATCTGGTTTATCTTGTGCTCCCAGTCAATAGCTGTGTGAAGGGCAGAAGCACCAGGTATTATCTGACTGATGTTAATAAATGCTTTCTTACCAAATCATGAATAGGAATGGGATGTACTTCTTTACAGAAAAGCATAGTGTGTCCTGTACACAGGACTAACTTGCAATTAAATGTAATGTGCTTTGAAGCATCTATTTAGAGTCTTCCAGAATACTTGGATTATCTGTTTACAGCGGCAGTGGTCAGGACACCCAGCCGCAGGTATACAGCATCTCTGCTCAGGCATTTAACTATTAAGCTGCACTACTTCTGGAAGCAGCCACAACTCAAAGGCAGATTTAACACACGAGTGTTTGAGGATACAAGCTTTTAGTTCTTTATGTCTAACCTGTTGCTCTCTGACGAACAATATTTCTTGCCTTCTCAACCCCTGGAGCTCCAGAGGTTGTGGCACTTCTGAATCTCATTGGCTCCACAACTTCAGGATGGCTTTTCCAGCTTAATGAGAAAGATCTTCCCACTACAGCTGTCTTCTGAGGCTCCAAAATGCCACCTTAGAGAGAAAGCAAGCAAAATCGTCATCACTGCATACTTTGGCACGTGTTTCTGCTAAGTATGAATGGGCTTACAAGCACTCGGGCATGAAAAACATTCACCTTTTAAACAGAGGTGACCTTTTACTATCAATAAAAATCAATCCCTGCTTCAACTATGTGCATCACTTGTAAGTGGCACATAAATGCAGCTAAAATACTTTAATAAAGGTTAAGAAAGAGACATGGAAAGGAATTCCTGCACTGCTGACGAGGCCAGACCACAGCACTGGAAACCACGTTTCACTGCCACTACACAGCAAAGACTGAATTTAAGCGCATTCTAAAACCTGCTTCTTCTATTGACCCCAATTACCTTTCCTCCCACAGTGAAAATACACAAATCCAAGGCACTTCACATTTAATTAAACAGGTTCTTACATTACATTAAGGAGTATTTAATGTTAGATTAAATCAAATTAATTTTTGAGATTAAATATTTAACTTGTTGGATACCAAAGGCACCGAAGCACAGACCAACCTTTCCCTCTCTGTTTTTTTTCTTTCTGTTCACTGAGCTTATCCAAGGGCAAGTTTGTCATCTCCACCCCGTACACGGTTCTGGCCAGCACGGCTGTCAGAGAGTCCATGATGTTGGCCCACTCGGTGATGAGCTCCTCCCAGTCGGTCAGGGAGGACAGGACACTAAGCAGCTCATCCCACAGATCCCGGGAGATGTACACGCTCAGGTTGGCTCTGATCCACGCCACGATGAGGGTCTGACAGACAGAAATGAGTGACAGCTCATGAATCCAGCACAACAACCCTGACCCATGCTGCTGACATCAGCACCGACCTGCACATTAGCACTGAGTATTCGTGATGCACAGGGTCTTGCATCAAAAAGCCATCCCCAGACATCAGGGGGTAAATAACTGTGAAAGTTGGTCACTAAGGGAATCTAAACATTCCTAAACACATGCATAAGGTGGTCTGTACATTCCCTGGCAAACTGAAATAAGCTGTGACCAGTAATAATAATAATGATGACGATGATGATGAACCATCTCCTACACCTACAGACTGATCTCAGTGACGGAGCTATGCCCGTGGCACTCAGGCCTGGACACTGTAGCTGAGCTTCTGAAGTACAATAGGATGTATAAATGTTTTCATGTCATTCAATGTGCCTCAGTTGTGATGTGCCAGCTGGACTTAGTTACATCAAGCTTGCACCTTAGAGATACCCACACAGAGACTGTGTGCCTGCATGTTGTACCACTGTTTGTCACGGAGCCCTGAGGAACAGATCAAATCAGCCTGTCTCCCTCTGTTAGGAGCAGTTTACAAAGTAATTCCTTGTAGTACTGCGAAGGAGAATCTCTTCACGGTTTCCAAGCAGGTTTCACAGCATTTAACTAAAACTATGGGTAAGCATCATGGAGAACCAACCTAAAGCCCCCAGTCAAACCAACCAACCCCAGTCACTCACTCGGAAAAGCAATCCTGACATGCTTTGAGCGAACGCATCTTTGATCTGGTTTTCCTTTGGCTTCTGCATCACAGCTTCTGTTATTCTAAGGAGTATCTGTAACATCTGCTCCCTGGAGCCAAAACAAAATTGCACTTCGTGTTCACATGTTCTGTCAATTGTACTCGTTAATGTTCCTGTACCAAAACCCCCCCTTAATTCTCCAGCGAACTTCACTTATAAAGTCATCACATTTGAGACTTCACAGATCAAAACATTCACAGTGCAAAACATTAGTGTATTGTGGACAACAGAAACTCACTTCTGAGAGGTGCAGTCAGGAATGGCAGCACCAGCCAGAACCCACATCAAATCACACAATGATGTGGACTCAGCAGAACCTGCAAGCCCACAGATCCATTCCAAGGCAAGTCACCAGGGTAACTGACACAGGAAGGTCTGTCCCTGGGAAAGCCAGTCTCTTCCCTACCCAATAGTTCTCCCATGAAACTTAAATGTTGATCATTTCCTCTTAACCCATGCAGAAGGTGTTAAGCTTACCATGTCCTTTTATTCATAGATAGCTCCATTATCATGCGCCTGAAGATGCTCAGAACAGCTTTGCAAGCATCCACCTGCTCCTTCAGCAGCACAGGGACCTCAGGGCAGGGCTCCAGCAAGAAAACATTTGCAGAGTTTGTCAGGAACACCTTCAGAACAGGCATTGAAAGGCAGTTTATGTGGTGACAGGAATAAAGAAAACACTTGTCCTCCTCCAGCCAAACCTTTCACCTCTAGAGCAGGTTTCATGTTTTACCTATCACCTTGTTCTGCTGTACTGTTCCAGCAACAACTCAGGTGGCATTCCAGACCCAGCAAAGGCACGTGTCACACACTGTGGGTTTGGTGAGTACCTCTGCTATGTGCTGAGGCAAGAGCACCATTCCTCCAGCTACTCATTCCCTGGCATTGCATGCCCGAGCAGCCAGCAATATTCCCCATAATTGAGGCTCAATGAGAGCAAGTGTACAGTTCTGACTGATTCCCAGTACCCAGCAGAAAAACATGAACTTCCTGTCACAAAATACAGCTATCTGGCTGCAAGATATGGTCCCAGGGCTTAACAGACATTATAAAAAGTTATAAATGAAGTGCAAATCCTTGCTTACAAAGCCCATCAGCTGCTGGTAGCTGTTCTCCTTAATCTCAGAGACTGTATTATAACTTGCAGTGTGAGTTACATGATTAGGTTAAATGATGAAGAGATGAGTTATGTGATCCAATTACAGCCCCGTTCCCCTCCTGCAGACCACACCTGTAATGCAGCTTGAGCACCAGCTTTAACGTTTCTGTCCTCCTCTTCCAGCACACATCCCCTGTTAACAGCACTGGTGAAGGAGTACGTCCTGCCCCAGCTGGAGGAGCGCTTGTGTCCCGAGTGCTCAGAGGAAAGCTGTCAAACACAGGCTGGGTTAGTGAGGAGCAGGAAGGAGTGTGCCCATATTGAATCTAAAGCAATTAATCTGCCAACAGCAAAAAGGGGACCTCTCAAGTCCTGCTTCATTTCAGCAAGGAAGGCACATCTGTTGTGGCTTGATGTCTGAACAAACAGACAGTAATGGAATATAAAGGTTCATAAAAGTTTGAAGGCTATGTTATTTGCAATATTTCATATCACATTTTATAGTTACTGATTGTAGTAATATTTGAATTCAAGGCTGGCAAAACTGTAAGTTCTCTACAAATAATCTGTCAAAACCTTGTAATTCTCACTGTGTTTTTACCACTCAAACCTCTTTCTCAGTACAACAAAACCTCCCTCTAAACAGCTTCACAGTGTCAGTAGTGTCAAAGTCAACTTTTCCTGATGTTCAGTATAGGCTATTAAAATGATGCACAGAATCTGTATCTACCCTTTGATTTCCTAGACTAACCCAAGTATTTCACCCAGCACATACAAACCAGTGCATACTGGCAGATTCTGAAGCACCTACCACCAAAAGGAATTAGTCATACATGCACGAGGCCAACAAACAACGTGAATGTTAACACTGCAGAAACTATCAGCAATTTGCTCCATTCAGTTCTTGCTGCCACACTGGTGCAGGCAGGGCTAACCAACAAATCATGTATCTCAATAGAGGTGCAATCTCTCCCTGCACTCTGCAAGTGCTACTGAACACTCAGTAGTTATTTTGAGTCCCTAAATAAAAGCCTATTTTCATCTTGATTTTCCAAACATTTTTAAGCTGTTTCTCATTTACACTGAGAGTTTAAACTTCACTCATGTGCTGTAGGTGATAGGATGGAGTAGGTAACACTGATGCCATACATGTTTACCATCCGTCTGCGCTGAGGAATCTTCTAGGTTGTCACCACCATCCTGCCCATCATCCTTCTTGTCTGGTTCCTCCATGAACACCGGCTTCTCCTGCAGTATCCACTTCTGGTACACCTTCACCACTTTCCGGGTTGCAGATACATCACAAGGTGGCAACAGAAAAGCCTGGATCGAAAAGTTAACTCATTTTACTAAACCTAGGGCACAGAAGGACATGCATACATGAACACACCCACACCACCAGCACGACCAACACAGCTCAAAAGAGGAAGGACACAATTCTTACTCTTCTGTCTGTACTAGGAGTTATGATTCACCACCAGCCCCTGCGTACACCTACATCATTCACAACCCCAATTTACTTCCACACTGCATTTGTTGGGATAACCCCAAGCGGTGGCTGCTGCCCTGTGCAAGGTCTCTGACTCCACCTGGATTCAGCCCACAAGCCATCACCAGCCCCAAAGACAGGCAGGCACAGCCTGGGAACCGCTCTGCACCTCCTGGAGAGGGGCTCTCCCAGTCCCACCAGCACTGGTGATGGGGAGCGCGACCTCAGGAGGTGCACACAGAGACAGGCAGTGAGTTGTGCTGAGGGCAACAGCAGCAGGCTGCAGCAGTGCACTTGTGCCCAACATGCTGCTCAGTATCTGCATCTGGGAGTCACTCTGTACAGACACCCTCTCCCAAAGCTCTCAAAGGCTGCACTGGCTGCTCCCCCACATACCTGTGGGCCTTAGGAGACTGGAAACAATGCAGTGACAGATGTGTGCACTGCAGTGAACAGGCACAGAAATCAATACCTGAAAATGTCATCTTGTAATAAAAAAGCACACCCTGCCAACAAAAAATGCTGATATCAATATGCATTATGTTATAAAAACACTGAAAGAGAGGAAACCACATTTTTCATACTGAAAAATAGGTCTTTTCAACTCTGAAGAGGTGACCCACTCTTTGTGATCAACAGGGCCACAAGCTACAGCACCTCCGACCCCAGTCTAGCTGCAAACCCATTGCAAGGGCACGCTGCTCGGGTCAGGGGAACTCACATCACACCACCCACTTCCTTGTCTCTATCCAGCAGGAAGCACAGCACCCAGCAGCTGGTTCAGCAGAAAGGGAAGGGTTATAGCAAAAGCAAGTTCAATTGTGCCATACAGCAAGTGTGTGAAATTACTGAGCATGTCAGACACTGTCGACCTATGAAGGACACAGAACCTGGAAAAGCCACAAGTCAACTACTACAGCAGTAGAGAAACAAGAGCTCACCAGTGGGAGGAATGGCCATGACACAGAATGCTTTCAGAAAGGCTAAGAAGTGGGGTAGAAAGGAAAAGGGAAGCAGAAGAAAAAGGAAAGCGGGAGAAGGAAAGCAAGGGAAGGAAAGCAGGAATTCACAGTGCCGAGTGAGCTTCCTGTAGGGGAGCATAAACACAAACGGGATGCAAACCCCATTATCTGTCTCGGTTCCTGAGCACTGACCATACCCAACAGAGGCATCGCGGAGCCTTTGTTCCCTGCAGCGGGTCCAGCCTCACACGCTGCGAGCACACCAGGAGAGGGCAGCAAGGCACAGCGCTTGGGAACCTGAGCCACTGATGCCTCCTTGTCCCACTGCTGCCTCCTGAACCACTGCTGCCTCCTGTCCCAGTGCTGCCTCCTGTCCCACTGCTGCCTCCTGTCCCAGTGCTGCCTCCTGTCCCACTGCTGCCTCCTGTCCCAGTGCCAGCCATGCACTGAAAAGCACCGAGACAGGCTCCTAAACCCATACAAGGGTTCCTAATCCGTGCCACACGAGGCACTTCGCAGTGAAGCTTGTGAATGATGCTCACTCAGCTGCTGGAGAGCAGCTCCTGCACCTCTGTGTCACCTGGAACTGCCACTTGAAGCAATTTGTGCCTCAGGCCCAGAAAAAACAATGGCAAAACCAAAAAAACCCAACAGGAAACAAAAAATTCCAAACCAAAGCAAAATCCAATGAACCAAGACCCCCAAAGAACCAACCAACCAACCCAACAAACAGAAAACGGCCTCTCCAGCAGGGCCACACGCATGTGTATCCTAAACAACAGTAAAGATGTCAGATTAATGACAAATACAACTAGAAGCAACTAATATTCAACATTAAAAACTGATGTTGATCACAGGAACTAATTCAAATAATAAACTTGTAAGCTAATAGGCTTACAAGGCTGAGAGATGCTGAGAAAGCTGGGGCTGTTCAGCCTGGAGAAGAGAAGCTGCATGGAGACCTCAGAGCAGCTTCCAGTATCTGAAGGGGGCCTATAGGGATGCTGGGGAGGGACTCTTCGTTAGGGACTGTAGGGACAGGACAAGGGGTGATGGGTTAAAACTTAAACAGGGGAAGTTTAGATTGGATGTAAGGAGGAAATTCTTTCCTGTTAGGGTGCTGAGGCACTGGAATGGGTTGCCCAGGGAGGTTGTGAATGCTCCATCCCTGGCAGTGTTCAAGGCCAGGTTGGACAGAGCCTTGGGTGCCATGGTTTAGTGTGAGGTGTCCCTGCCCCTGGCAGGGGTGTTGGAACTGGATGATTTTAAGGTCCTTTCCAACCCTAACTATTCTATGATTCTAACGGCTTTTTACACGCCTTTAAATTATATCCCAATACCAAGAACAACTGAAGTGGCCCATTCAACAGTCTGGCACCAGCAACAACCTGCAGCTCCCGTAAGTACGTCACAACACTCGTTAAAGCTAGCCCTAGGAAGGACTCCAAGGTAAAGGGTGCTGGTGTGTCAGATCCAGTTTGACCAGTTACCTGCCCACCAGCCTCTGCTGCGTCCTGCCTCATAACCATGACACTTGCCTAGGGAAAACACCCAAGGGGCACTGAGCCCAGGCACTGACCTGCCGGAACACCTCGTTCACGAAGTTCACGTAGCCCCGGGTGGACAGGAGGATCCTCTGCACCATGTCATAGGCGGGGCGGTGCTGCTCCTCCACGCTGCAGAGGCTGCAGGCGCTGAGCCGCCTGTCGGACAGGCTGCTGCTGTTGGAGTGGCTCCGCTCCTGCTCGCCCGCCTGCGATGCGCCCGTCTCCAGCTCGGGGGGTCTGTCCTGGCTTGCACCACCAACAGTCTGGGCAGGGGAGAGCACACACCTGAGAGAAGCGACATCACCAACACCCTGGCACGCACACAGGCCTCGGGATGCCCGGGCTCTGCGCCACACAACACACTGGCATCCCGGCCCTCGGGAAGTGCCATTTCCAGTCCAGTGCTTTATCCAAGAAGGAATTCAGTCTCACACTCTGCACAATGCACACTTCATATGGGCCCCCCAGCCCAGAACAGCAACTCCCTTGCCCAGGTCATAAAGCAAAAACGAGGGAGGGGTGCAGTGGAGGGACTGGAGAAGGCACAGACACAGGGGAGAGGAATCTCCAGGTGTCCTCGGCTTTGGGAAAAGGTGGCTCATAGCACTACACACAGCTCATACTCTCACACATTATTGTTCCTGACATGTCCTGGTCAGGTTTTGCTCTGCAATTGCACGTATTCTGCAACATCTTGCACTCTGTTAGGCTGAAGTGATGCAGCCAGGAGTACGCAGAGGACTAAAAGTTGCTTCTGATTTACCAGAATCTCAGCTTACACTGACACAAAGCATCACCCAAACACAGTTCTGCTTTCTGTTCATGTTAGTGAGGCTGCCCTCTGCTCAGCCAAGTGGGCAGCAACAGAGCAGCACTGACATCTCTGCAGCTCTTCACAAGGAAGCTTTGGGTGAGATTCAGCCTCATCAGCCAGGCCGAGGCTGCAGTCAGTGAACTCAGAGCCACAAAGGTCAGCGTGTGCCCCAGGCTGGCACACACCAGCAGCTGAGTGCTGACTCCCAACCAGCTTCCACCCTGAGGGCAGCAATACCTTTATGCAACCCCAATTTGTGTGTCCGCTGTCTATAAAACTCGGGGAGAAGGAAACAATTCTTTCTCCCCGCTCTCTGTTGGTGCACAGCAGTTTAAAAGGTGGAATTTCCAATCAGAAGGAAAAGATCAATTAAAAAGCACTTTCAGTTGCTGGTTGAGGGCCTCCAGCTTCTACAGTGAAGGGCTCCCAAACCAACTGACATGAAAATATACAGTTCTCCCACAGTAGTTCCTGCAGGCTTTCCCACTGGAGCCAGCCCTGACACTCACCTGTGATTCAAGAGAACAGTTGGCATTGATCCTAAACTTCTAACAGGAGCCTGGAGTCTCCTTACAGCAACACACCCATTCCTCCAAGATCCCTGCAGAGCCCCTGCTCCTAGAGAAGGCTCAAGCAGCAACCTGAAAGTGCAGTCTTTTTCTAATATCCCATTGTACACAGCTGCTGTAATCGAGAGGGAAACAAAGAGGCCTCTGATGGGCTGGGAAATGGTCCATGCACGAATGACAGCTTACAGATTGAATTCCGAAGCTCTGAACATAATACTGATGGTGCTGGGGAGGCAAACAGCTAGGAGAGAAAAGCCACAAACTGCTACTGGATTCCTGAAGGGCTTCCCTTGGAGATTCCCTCCTCCATCAAAGTACCAATAGTGAAATATATCATTTATTCACCCGGGGTAGCATTTCTTCCCTGCTCCCATTGTCAATGCACAGTGATCATGCACCAGGTCAGTACGAACACAAGGAAAGAGAGAGGAACTTCAAAGCACCTGAATGATTTTAGGGAGCACTTCCCCCCCATTCTTCGCATTCTGAACAGCAGGTAAGTATTTCTTCTCGAGGAAGAAGGTAACAAGCCACTTAATGAAAACAACTCGAGCTGCCATGTAGGGGATCTTGGTGCTATAGACACTCTCATTGCTCCGTGTTGCAGGGATGTACACTGGCCTCGGTCTTACATCAGGAATATCTGGGGAGATAAAAAGATAGAAAGAAAAACTTATCTGAGAACACTTCCAGAGTGTGGTTAAATGTCCTGAACATGTCCCCAGCATCTTCTCCATATGAACTAACGGAGGCAGTAACTGACTGCTTTTATTACAGTAATGCTTACATTGCCAGAATGTTGTTACTCCTAAAGAAAAGCAAGAACATAAAAGCAGGGATTTTCCCTGCAGATTATAATTTGTATCATGCAAACCAAAGGAAAGCAAAGGAGAAGGGCTGCAAAAAGAAGGGCAAAACCTGAAACAAAGAACTACTACTACAGTGTTAGTTAATGTTGTAAGTTTCACAGGGTTTTATTAATGAAGTACAGTGAGAAGAGGCCTGGAACACTCCACAGTGCAAAGACTGAGAAGAAAAAGGATACTTGGTGCAAAGAACATTGCACAAGCTGAAATCAAAGAAGGAAAATACATGGGAAGAAGTGGAAGGTTGCTGAAGGGAGACAGGGTTGGGTCATAATTCATTCAGATGCTTAGAGTTAGGGAAAAGTCACTGGTGCACAGCTCAAAACCATGGAAGGCCTGGGCTGGAGCTGTGAACAGAGCTGAGGTGGCACCAAGGTGAGCTTAGACACTAAATATTAAAGTGCAAAGGACAGGAATTAGATGTCGGAGGATTGGGAAAGGATGATGAACAGGCTGCAGTACACCAAGTGAGGATTAACACCACTGCTCCTATTGACTCCCATACATAATTCAGTAGAAAATTAGGAAAAATGTGAGAATTTCTGAATTAACATGCTTTTAATCCTGCAGCTGCAGATGCACATCTTACCTCCTTTAATTTGGCCCTTCTTGCCCATCTTCTCTTCAAGGAAACAAGAAGTAAATAAGAGTAACTAAGTTAGCTGCTCCCTCAGCCTGGGGCAGCTTGCTGGTTCTTTAACAAACCCATCCGAGAGCATGTTCTGTCATTACACATCACAGTTACAGAGTCCTCACTCACTCCATGTAAATGCTATGTCTGTGGAGATGCCCTTAGGAAAGGAAAACCAGGCCAGCCCTTATGCAGCCTGAGCAGCAGCAGCTTCCTGGACTACCCCAGAAAAGCAGAAGTTTGCTACAAGTATCAATCAAATACAATCAAAATATGCTACAAAAACATCAAATCATGAGATGAGGGAGAAAAACTCCTCATTCAGCAGAACTGTGGTGATATGAAGCAGGGAACAGAGATGCTGCTACTGAGAACAGTCACTTCTTTTTTGACTTAGAGGACAGAATTCACTACTCACCCAGAACAGGCTTGTAGAGGTTGGTCAGCTTTGTGAACGATGGAAACAAGTGAGGAAGGTAGTATTTTCTAAACAAGGTAAAGAGAAACTTAAACCCAGTGTCTTGGTTCTCCTTATTCTTCCACTCTAAGCTTGCAGCCTTTGTCATGGAGTTAGAGAGAAACAAACAAACAAGATAAAATAGTCTTCTCAGCTCTGCAATGTGGCCAAGAGAACAAACTGCATCTTTACCCCAGATCAATTATCTGCATGCAACCACAAGCACGTAAAGCAGTCAGTTATCCCGCATGTTTGGGTATCATTCAGCAATTCTTATCACAAGTGTGAAAAACTTCTTATTTTAACCAAAACAGCCCAAGGAAAAAGCTATAGGATGATTTTCCTTTTAAAAACAAGAGTAAGAAAGTGCAGAAAACAGCTTCTTCCTGTAGAGGGGCAAAACCAGCTCAGTGGAGGTACAGCATAGACTGAACTTCCCACCACAAGTACACATGTGAAGAGTTAAAACCATGTATCCTCCCCACCTGAATCACCATGTATTTTAACAGCAGCTGCAGAAAATAGCAGGTTTGGTCTTCAGCAATTTTCTCTCCAGAGACCGCTGGCACAAGTGGGGTTATTTCTTCTGGAGAAATCTTGGCTAAAATAAAAAGAAACTGTTTTAAGCAGAGAAACTCCCAAAACAGTTAAATAAAGGCATTTTCTAGAAAAAGATGAATCTGAAGATAACCGATAACGCACTCCTAAGTTGGATGAAGTCAGTCACCACTTGGGCTTCCCACGTTTCCCCAGGTCCTACCACATACAACCGAAGGTGGCACCAGCCTCTGCCTGACAGCAGTTTGGGGGCTAACCCAAGCAGTCACTGCAGTTAGCTGCACATCTCTGCACCTGCTCGTTGCGCAGTAACACGTTCACAGAGCTGCAGCTCCAGCAGAAACACTAACTAAACCCCCACAGAAGGCAACCCTGAACCAACAAACCCAACGTTCTGAACTGAGAATGACAAGCCCAGAAGGCTGCACAGCTGCTCTAAATACAACAAACTCGGTCCATCTCTGAACCAGGAAGACAAACATCATTCATGTAACACCTTCCCCATGAGAAGCTCTGCAGCTCCACCACAAGCCCAGCAGCAGGAGAAGCAATGTGCCCCTCATGGAAATGGTGCTCATTTACTCACCATCCGGTGAATTTGGAGGGCTAATGAGGTTATCCAGTGTACAGGGACCTCGGGAGGAGGTAAGGGGTGGAAAGCCAGGCACGAGGCATGCAAATATTAATATCTGCTCTTCCCCACAGTTAGTCTGAAGCGCTTGGAGCCAGAGAAGAAACAGGCGTATTCCTTCACATCTTATCTATGGGGGAATGATGTTGTAGAAGAAGATATGAAACCAAATTTGTAAGTACAGTAACAGTGACATCATGAAGAAATGAACAGCAAAATGACTGAGGATAAATATTAGAATAAACTAGGACTACAACAATCACATGTGTGGTTAAAAGGTGAATAAGTAACGCTACAAAGCCCAACAAGCTGAAAACCACCAGTAATGGCAAACTGTACAGTGATACACTTCATAGGAATCCAAGTGAAAAGCACTATGAATGCATCATCCCAGAGAAATACCTTGAGAGAATTCCCAGTGTGCAAAAGCTTCTTCAGAATCGACCCTGGGTGAGAAGAAGGAAACAAGCACACGTCAGATCCAGAGATGGACACTGCCACCACTATGGGGTATAAAGAGTATCACAGAAAGGCCAGTTTAGTGCCATTTGCTATGTGGGTACTGAGAAGGGCCCTAGAAAAGGAAGACTATGGGTTGAAAACCCCAAAGTGAATCCAGTTACAACCATAATCATCACTGTCAGTGCTACAAGATTCAACATGACTTCTCTTTCCAGTGGGGCACTTTGGGTTCAGCCAGCTGACGGTTTCTCTAATTATTCTCATTAAACATAAGCTACGGAGGGGGAATTTTGGGTTACTGGATTTGGAGAACTCTTCCTTACTCCTACCTGGTAGGATTAATGCATACAAATACACTCACACTGACAGCAATGGTGAGAAAATGATGCTAGCAACCCGCACTGCGTTCATGTCTATGAACACAGCTATGAAACTGCAAAATGGTTCAGTTCTGCTTTTAGAGATTTCAATCCAACCGCCCTGCACTTCAAATCAGAGTGATTGTACCTCAAATGCTTCAGGTAAAGCATGGCTTTAATCCAGTTCTGGGAAAAGGAACATGATAGAGCACTCAGCTGCTCATCCCCGGGGTCTGTGAATTCTGTACATCCCTGAATGGGAGCCTTCCCTGAGGACTAAATGGAATTATTAACATCCATAGCAAATACACGTCAATGCACGGGAACATGGAGCACAACTCACGAGGTACAGCTGTAAATAACTGCCCTGCCAAATTCTGCAGCTCATTTATCAGACTCAGGTCAAAAATCAGCCAAATATGGCTATTCAAAAGAAGCAGAAATATAAAGAATATACCAGCTCTAGAACAACTGGCTGAAGGCAGCCTGCTCTGCGCTAGTTCAGGTGCAATGGCAGTCAAGCGCCCAAGCAGATGTCTCCTTTGGTTCCCATCAGTGCTAACTGGGAATGTGACAACACTTCTTCCTTAACCTTTAACTCCCACCCTGTAGTTGTGCACCAGCAAACGCCCTGTGTTGATGGTAACATGGCAGCTGACAGAATGGTGCTGGAGCCAAAGCCCAGCTCCTACTGCTTGGAGGAAATACATCCTTCTCCCCCAGCAGCTGAACTGTGCTTTAACAAACAGCAAACCCGGACCTGTGAGTGCCCTGGCAGCATTTGGGACTGGAACTGCCAAACCAGTGATGGATCGGAGATGTTGAAATCAGAGGAAATGATCAAGTTCAGGCACTTCACTGGATCTCAAGGTGCTCTGACTATCACAGTGAATGCACTGCACCTTTCAGTAGGGCTGTGCCCATTTAACTCCAGCTTCATTCTATGTGGTTAAATAAGGAGAGGAATAAATTGTGTTTTCTGGCTCCTGTCTATGATCACAGGTCACAACATTCCCTATAGCAGCACTGGAGGCTGCAGGGAATATTTAAACCATTAAGAAGTTGACTTTCATCTAACTGACGACAATGACACTCCTCTTCCCATAGCATTAATGTTTGAATCCAATTTTAAAATCCAGTTAAAACCTCTATACGAACTATATGAGATCCTCTATTAAAGATGATCATTGTGCAGAAAAATGAATCCTGCTTTCCTTACTGAGGTCTCCAAAGCTGGGGAGTGACTAAACCAAGCCTGCCACCATTTCTATTACCTTTAAGAGAAGCTAAGTCTAGCAGAAGCAGATAGTGCTTTGAGCCAAGCACTTAACTGAGCTGGCAACTTCATCCTGTCCTTTCCCATGCATGTGCTTCAATACAATCTTCAGTTCGTGCCTGTGAAACCTCTTCCTGCAGCACACCTGAGCATGCAGAGCGGACAGGAGGCGAGGGAATAAAGCAGAGCTTTACTAATGCCAGCACTACCCCCTGATGGACTCCCCCTATTCCTTCCCTTGTTCCAGGAGGCACAATGCACAGCAAATCCCATGGGAGTCTGGGGAAGGAGCAGACAAGCTGTTGGTGTGGCCCAGTGAGCACCACCATCGGTATCTCCTGTCTGTCGTGGCCAGTGTCACATCCTAACGCAGTGCTTGGCAGATCCTCCACTACATGGGAATCAGTGGCAGGCAGCTTGCACAAACACTGTGCATTCACAATTCCACTTACACAGGACAGAAAGATTGGGGGCCACTCATCAGAAGAAAAACTGACCAAAAAGAGCTACCAAAGAGCTTGTATTTTTGTCCCGAATCTCTTTCCTTCACTGTCCCAGCCCTAAACCAGAAATTCCTCATTTAATTCCCACAAATAGTGTGAGAGAACTGAGTGTTTCACAAACATTAACGGCCTAAGCTGCCCAGAGAATACAGGGTATCAGAGATGAAATGAAGCTCCTTTCACTGCAGCAGCCCCATGGCTTGCACTCAGTTTAGCACAGCCTAAACTCACCCACTGAGCAGCCCCCTGGTCACAGCCTGGGTTCTACAGAGTGAGCTTCCAGGAGGTGGCAAGGGTTGAGCTCAACAGCATCCATCGTGAGGCAAGGAGCCACACTCAGTGCTATGGGTCTGTACGGGCATCTCGGGTAGGATCACATGCAAAAGACCACCATAACATACAGGTTCCACAACCCTCCCCAGTCCTAACTTTGGTGTTAGTCTGTGAACACAAAGGGAGACCTAAGTAGAAAAAGATGTGTTGGTTTATGACCCCCATCCTCTCGATAGCTTCCAGCACATGGAAGAGAAGGAAACAGGACACAGGTAAATCTGAGAACGTAAAATTTAAAAGCCATGTGTACAAAATCACAGTGAAGCAGGCAACCAAACACACACAAACTGAGGAACACACGGAGCTCTTGGAGCAGGTAAAAGCATCTTCCATATGCTTTGAGATGTTTCAGCTGCCAGCCTCATGTAAGTGCTGTTTGTATGGGAATACTATGGGAGTCGGTGGTTAACAGGACCTGCAGAACCGGAACTGACTACAGAAAACACTGACTTTATTTGACTGGAAGCTTTCAACCCTTCCTTCTTACCTATACTGCGAAAATGCCATCGGTAAAAAATCCTCTCAGGTAGCAGCTGCAATATTTTCTGCAGGAAACAAAACTAAAAGTCACATTTTTTGTAGTAAACAGGCTCATTCAGAGGATACAGAGGAATTAATACACAAGACATCAATGAAATGGCAATGTATACATTGAAAACACAATAGAAAGCAAACACCTATCATAGCGTCACACTTGCCCATTACTGTCTTATAGCAGAGAAAGATACCTGGAATGGTCCTGAATAAATGCCATGACACTGTCATGAGTCACTTTCCCTTTCCCATCACCTTCCAATGCCTGGTATTCCCGAATATGAACTGCTTTCCAACGCAGAAGCTGCAGATTCCTAAGCAGCTCCCTTTGGGTCATGCTCCCCCTGCAGTGACCGGTAATGACTGGGTCGATAGAGCCCAGGTCCTGCGCTCCTGGGGCTCAGCTCTGCCTCTCCCTAGGTAAGGGGCTCTGATCCCAGCACTGGGGTGATCTCTGCAGTGAGTGCTTTCCTGTGCCTTCAGCGGGGAGCAGACCCGAGCTGCACAAAGCTGGGCTCACCTAACTCACAGCGCGGCACTCGGTGAAGCTGCTCTGCGGAACAGCACCAGGGCCTCTGGAGGTTGGGACTGATGGCACCAGCGGCAGCCCAAACAGGGGGAGAGGCTGTGCTCAAACCCGCTCCCCTCAGCTCTGTTACCCACAGGGCACCATGAAGCCGAGCAGTTTAAACACGCTCCTGAACGGAGCCGTAGCATCTTGGTTGGAAAGAGCAGCTGGGGCCACCAAACGCTGTTCTTTGTCAGTTTAGTGGATGGCAATGCTAGGAAATAATCTGGACAAATCAGAACTATCCAGGGTCTTACCTGGGTAAATATGACTTTGAAAAGGACCTTCAGTTAGCAGGCTCCAAGCATCTTTTTCCTCTTTTGTACACTATTAGCAGTACAGACTAGGGCTCAGCATGGAGCTGTCTTAGTGACACAGGGCAGGGAACTCAACTGATGCTAAGCTCCCAAAAACAGTGAGAGAGCAAACATGGATCCCACAGAAAAACAGGTCTGATCTCACACCTTTCCAGCCACTGAAATAAGGAATTAAGATACATTTAAATGGGAAACTAGCTTTTAACATCTGCTCTCGGAAATGAGATTAAACGATGTTACAAATGACTAACAGAGCTCCTCTTAATTACCAAACAGAATCATTGGAACAAAGTTCTGCACACAACCCACCTTTAAGTTTCCAGAAATACCCCATGCAGGATGCAAATGAATGCCAGGTCATTTAAGCAACATTTGTGGGTCTTTTGCACATAAAAGCTCACAAGAGGAAGTAAAGCATCACAGCCAAGAAAGCGAGTGTGGGCATCCCTTCAGAGACAGCCAAAGTACTGCTGCTGGAAACAGCGTGCTCCAGAGATGGGACAGGAGACACTTGTCTATTTTGACACCAGCTCAGAAATGATGTGCAGCACTCCCAAGAGTCCTTCTGGAAATGGAGCATTCCTTTCTCCATGGCGGAAGATGGCAGTGATGGCACGTCCATAGACTTGGGGAACTAGACCTCAGGTCCCACTGACAGCCTGGCCTTCTTTGCACCTTCACCAGGCACATGCTCCCAATAGCATCTGGCCTTTCTAAAGGTTTACCTGGAGCAGAAATGGGGCCTGTCCCTTCCATGCTGTGCTGTGTTTTGTTTCACCCCCATGGCACTGTGGAGCAGGGACCAAAGGAGCGGGGCGGGTGGCCAGAGGTCTGGCTCCCCATCCATGGGCAGCAGGAATGCGCTTGGGATGAAGGCTCTGACAGGCTAAAAATGAGGCCATGAATCACATGGGGGCTTTACCTGGTAGGAAGGGGCCACGCTTCTGCCAACCAGACTGCAGGATCCGCAGACAGAGAACTGTTGTTATCCATCTGAATACTGAAACAGTCGCAGCCCACCACTTCTCCAGCCCATTTCTGACACTGAGCGTTACTGAACCCAGCACAGGGCAGAAAGGAGCTTCTGCCTCAATCCCTAATACTCCAACTCGCTGCAAGAGTGGTGGTTCTGTGCATGCAGGGTTCAGTCTGCACTGCAGCACACATCAGAGCCCATAACACAAGAGGAAGGGCTCTGTTAAACAAAACCCTAAGACAAACTGGCAGCAAAATCTGTCTGGGTTCAAGCATCAGAACACACTGCATGGAGAAACCTTCCAGTATCTTCACATTTGTCATGGCAAACTGGTCAAAACCATGTACATTTTGTTCCCATTGTTTGAGCCATTATGAGGAGTGCAGTGGGTTGTTAGAGCAAAACCAGCTTCCCTTCAGAGACCACAGGAATGAGATACCTTCAGCTTGTCTTTGGATGTAAATCCTCTCTCACCTGTTTCAAACCCCTCACTTCTGAGAAGCAACTGTATTAAACTTCCACCCAACCAACCAGCACTGCTGTATCAGAACGTTTCATCAGAAACCTGTCAAAATCTGGCACTACCACCAGTGAAATCACATCCCCGTGCATCGCAGATGTCACAGTAAAATCCCTTATTGCAAACCAAAACCTGTCCTTGGAACACGTCTGCTCCACTAGATGTGAACACCCGCACGGCTCACTCCTGTGTCAGGAAGGAAAGTTTAGGAGAGTGACGTGATGACAAGCAAGTTTTCCTCGGCTGCCACAAGAAACCATAGGTGCATCCCAGAGCTTGCGCCGCGCTCTGGAGGCAGTCCTGCAGTCACACATCCCAGCTGGCCCAGCTCAGTCACTACCCAGCAGCTGTTCCAGGCACAGCGCACTGGGGGAAACTGGGTTTCAGTCCCCAACAGCACAGCACGAACATCCCGTGTGCCACACAGTCACCTCCACCTGCACACAAAGGTCACGTCCAGACAGTGAACCAGGACAGAGTGTACACTGGAAGGTGGCAGAGCTGCAGAATCAAGACCCATTCTGAAACCCAACTTCATAACAACTTGTACATCCAAGTGTTGGGGAACTGTGGACTGTGCCAGAGAAAAACAGGAAAGCAAATGCTGTTGTGGAGTACAACCACCACCAGAACACAAGCTCAACTGAACTGCATGAAGCTGGCAGGGCTGGGGAAGGAAAGAACACACTTACAGGGGGGTCTCTTTATAAAACACAAACACCCTCCCAGGTGACTTGAGTCAAAACAGTTCAGGGGTGGACATAGCTAGCAAGGGGACAGAGGTTTCCATCTGAGGAAGGCTTCCATCTCCCAACATGTTTTCATACAGCAAAAATCAAGACACTTCAGTCATTTCCCATGCTGTTCTCTGCTTCAGCATGTAAAAACCAGGAAATACATATATCTATATATATATATATGACGCACCTTGAAGCAATGCAAAGATGTGGTTAATCACCTGCCTGCACTGCCACAGTGACCGGGTCACACAGCCTGCACCACAGCCCCCTAATGAAGATCGGAAAGCTTTGCAGCACATCAGCACCCATACCAAGAACCTGACTTCAGAGCCCACATTCGCTCCCAATGCAAACCAAGTTATCCTGATACAAGTCTGCACTATCAAACAGAACCTGTGAATGTTCCAAGTTCATTCAAAGCTACAGCTCGAGCAATTTTTAAGCAGGAATTGCCCATGTGTGCAGGGGTGCCCAGGCGCAGGCGGTGTCACAGGTTGACAGGGGAGCATGGACATCGTGAGCACGCTCCGGCTGTTGTTCTGCCAGCATCTCATTTCCAACAGCATTTGCTATGCCCTCCCAACCCCTGGGGCTCTAAAAACACATCCTGCTCTTCCTCCAAACCAAATGACAGTTGCTTCCACTCCAGCCTGGAGCTGGAGCAGCACCGCTGCGAATCCACGCTGGCCATTGACTCCTGGTTCTGCTTTCACAGCACACTAATAAGAAATAGTTTAAGAAACCCCACAGTGCGAAATCATATTGCTTTTTCAGAAAACACATAGCTCTATTTAATGCTTAGTGCTTTGCTGCATCTATATGGTAATCCATTACAGCACACTTGAAATAGAAATTAGGTATTACTACTGATCAACACATCAGGGTATCTGTCAGTTCTTTTAACTGATTATCCATAGTTCTTTTTCTTCCGGACTTCCTGCATGACTAGGAATAATGTTCACTTTAAACCTTAGTTTACACAGGATGCTGCTTTTTGAAAGATCTCCCTCTCTCTTTTATCAAAGGAAAATAAAAGATACCAGGGTTTCTATTTCCACAGATTCACTCTGGCTTAACCAACCCTGCAACTCCTATGGAAAGGTCTGTTGCTGTGCCAGCTTTGCTGAACCAAACCCACGGGTGGCTTCGTGCCTGTCACAGTGTGCTGCTGCAGGGGCAGGGCAGGATGAGGCTGGGACCAAATCACACGGAAGACCCCTATAGCCTGGATGTTTCCCCTTGAACTTCCACAGAGGCGAGACAATATGTGGACAATAGAGTCCCAGAGCTCTGTAACTTTCTATGCAGCCTCTTATTAAACTCCAACCAACACAGATGTCCTTGCTGACTGCACACACTCTCAGAGACAATGTCAGTGACAGGGTAACAGTAATCATTCCAGGAGAATGGATTCTGAGACAAAAAATAGCTTTATTTGCTACAACCTGGCCATCATGAGGAGTTTCTATCAGTCAGTGGCAGGTGGAGCTGCTTTAAGCCAAGTCAAATGCAGACGAGCTCCCCTACACCCCTGCTCCAGCGCTGCTCAGTGGTACCTCCACAAGAGTTTCACTGTTCAACTACTAAAACCTGCAGTAATTCAGAGTTTTCCCAGCTCCTATGCACTGATTTGGGTGAAGCCAAGAGCCTGCTGCTCGTGTGCCTGCAGCGCTTCCATCTGCATGAAGGGACACTCCGTTTATTGCACCACTAAATTATTTAGCTGTTCATTGAGGGGAAACATCTGCCCAAAGCACACAGGATACTCCTGCCCTCGGCACAGCATCAAAAGCAGGGTCTCTGAAGTCAGACACATGAAACATACAGTTAGAATGAACACGAGAACGCTGTAAGAGTAATATCAATGTCATTTAAAGAGCAGCAATAGAT